GGAATAAATGGTTTGTTGTGTTTAATTAATCCACCTCTTGGTAGTTTTTCCTCCATTAATCACTTTCTGTAGAACTGTATTACTTTGGATATGTTTGTTGTATCAACACAATTGACTGAAAGACTCAAATAGTTCATAGTTCATGAAGCATCATTTCAAACACAACACGTTAGACCATAGATTGTAAATATACATTTTAACATTAGATCTCACCATTCATTGTAAGCACTTAAGAGTGTTATGTATTTTTTTGTCCACATGATGGGGTAGTGGAGCATGATTCACCTCGAGCCTTCGACTCATGGGCCGAGTAATAGGCTGCGATCCCTCAAGGCTTCATGGGGCTTCATATTGCCATCACTACAAGTAAGCAATTGACAAAACCAAAAGTGTAACCTTTTATATATAAATAAAAGCTTACTAAAAGCTTACTAAAGTGTCTCAACATAAACTAAACGAGTCACTGAACTAAGGTACCGGCACAAGTGACAGAACACAGACAAAACTAATGGCGAACTGGAGTCCACTGACTCCAGCTGCCCCGAGCCGCGGAAGATTGGCAGTTTATAAGGGCGGGTCCTCCAGGTGAGCGCACGCTGATTGGAGGTGTCAGGGATGAAGCAGACAGAATTATTAAATTATTAAAACTCATAATCATAAAAATCAATATCAGTGGATTTTATCCTCTATCCTGGGAAAAATCAAAACAAAAAAAGTAAATAAATAAACAAAAAACAAAAACAAACAAAAATAAAAAACTAAAACTAAAAACAAATCAAAAATAAAAACAAATCAAAAATAAAAACAAAAACTATTGGACACAGTAGAACTCAGCAGCTTCAGTCAAAACACAGACAAAAACGAGCTGAGTCTCAAATTAGAAGCTTATTTCAATATTTCTTACTCTATACTTTTATTCTAATGCTGATTGTTTACACTACACTTATTTCACTGTATTATTTTCACTATTTAATCTTAGACAATGTACTTTACTTTCATTATTCACTATAGTTTAAAACTATTCTAATCTATTTACAAATATGTTTGTATATTTGCTTTTATTGAGCCATATTCTTAAACATATATTTTAATCTAATAAATCTCTCTGTGGTTTACTTTCATTATCAGTGGCTTTGTGTCAGGGGGATTTTGCTCTATGTGTATTCTACATTCTCAGGAATAAAACTGAACACAGAAAAACAAATGGTGAATATGAACATTATTATGGCGGTCAGTTTTCCAAATACATTTGTTGAACCAGGAAGTGCTGTCACTTCCTCCTCTCAGGCAGTTTGGGATGAATGTACATCTTTAATCAAATTAGTATTATCCTTACAAGAGTTAATCTATTTGAGCAGGTTTGGGGTCAGTTATTCTACAATGGTGTTTGATTCTCTAATCTGTGCTGGTGAATCGACAGCTTTTAAACTTCTCAAAAATATCTACTATACTGTTTTTGTGCTATACACAAATACATCAAAATGCTTTTAAATGCTTTTGGATCTCTGTTGGTTCTAATCTATCTCATTAATCTCGGCTACACTCATATGAACTTTTTGTATTGTCAACATTCACCAATGTTTAAACACAAGTGAATTTGGCAAGTATCTAATAAAACTGTGCATAAAACTGTAATGAACTTTATTTACTTCTGAAGTAAAGGTTTGTGAACATATTTTGAAGGAAATGGTCCTTTTACAATTCAAATATTAGCTCATGGCTAGAAATAATCTCTATTTTTGAAAGCATCTATGGTTGATGCATTTATCTATTTCTATTTCTATATTGTTTAACTCCAAAGCTCTGTTGCAGCTTGAGCCAAGGCATATTTCTAGTTTGTGACTTCTGTCACTTTTAATGGCTCTAACATTCTTCTGATTCTAATATTTTAGCTGCTCTATCAGAAGGATAACTTTGTTTGGTTATGATTTTAACTCTTATGTGGAAATGTGTTTATGAACAAAGGAAGTCAAATTCTACTTTTTTACTACTATTTAACATCTACTAAAACTTTATCATTTTAAAACATTTTAACAGTTGCTCAGTCTCCCAGACTAAAAAGTCAAAGTTTTTGTCTGTCAGATGTCTGAATACTTAACATTCATTGCATTTGTCACAGTTGTGGTTCTGGTTGTAGCAATAGCATCGGCAATAGATGGTTTTTCATTGGCTGGTTCTTGTTCTGCAAATGTCTGTGTCCAATAGATCATCAGATGTCCAGAAGCTAGAGACAAACAAAAACAAAAGAAAGAATCATGAGTATCTCTCTCATTTAGCACTCATCAATGTATGATTTTAATAATATAAACATCACTCCCCAGTTTTCTCTCTCAGATCCTCAGGTCCTCAGGTCCTCAGGTTCCTCAGGTCCTCAGGGTCCTCAGGGTCCCCTGAGGGTGAGTCTCAGTCGTCATCAGCTCAGGTCATATTTCGAGAGATGTCATCTTGGACATCAGTAGGGTCCAAGCCATGGTTCTGGTCTCTCCAGTTGGACATCGGATCTCCAGATACAGTCTTTTCACTTGAAGCACATCAGGTCATTTGCGATGCACTTCTGGTCAATGGTGCAGTGTCACAGTTCCTGTACACAGCTTGTTATGCAATAGTTACTCTCTATGGTTAAGTCATTTTGATTCTACTTTAAAGACAATTTCTATTCATGCTGTTGCTAATGTCCCTCAGACAAAAGCAAGCGCAATGATTCAGTTTACTTCTCTAATTTGTGTTTTTATCAGAATCAATGTAATTACTTCACACAGTACAAAATCAACAAATCAAAACAAAAAAGGCCAATTAAGTCCGAGACAATATAGAATTCAAATGAACATTTCTGGTCTCAAAAAATACTGATTCAAATAAAGATTCAAGTGATAGACAATTAAAAATATTTCAGACAGAAGACTGAGGCACTCAAAAGTTACAAAAATCTATCTTGCAACTATGGATGTAGAGTCTTTATACTCTAACATCGACCATGAAGACGGAATATCGGCACTGAAACATTACCTTTCAACAAGACTTCCAGAAACACTCCCCCCTGCTGACCTTTTGCTAGAATTGACAGAATGGACATTAAAGAACAATGTATTTCTTTTTCAGCAACAATTGTATAGACAACAAAAAGGCACTGCCATGGGAGCCTGCTTTGCACCAAATTATGCAAATCTCTATATGGGATTTTGGGAAGAGAAATACGTGTTTTCAACGGACAACCAATATAAAGACAAAATATTGTGGTGGGGTCGGTATATTGATGATCTACTTTTGTGGTCTGGATCTGAACAAGAACTTTTAGAATTCCATACTTATTTGAACACCAGCAATATCAATATCAAACTCAGTCTAGATTATTCACTAACAGAAATACATTTTCTAGATTTGAAAATATACAAAGACAGTTATGGGGATCTACATAGCACAATCTTTAGAAAACCTTCAGATAAGAATACTATACTTAAAGCAGACAGCTTCCATCCTCCATGGCTGTTACAAAATATACCAGTTGGTCAATTTCAAAGACTACGGAGAATCTGTGACACAGACCAAAACTTTAAGGAAAATGCCGAAGAAATGAAAGGGAGATTCAAGAACAGAGGGTACACCCCCAGCACCATAGATTCAGCCTACAACAGAGCAAAACATCAGAATCGAGAACAACTGCTAATACAGAAAACAAAGTCAAATGACTGTTCTAACCAGGTCTACTTTGTAACTGAATTTGGCACAAAAGCCAATAAAATAAAACAAATAATCAACAGGAATTGGAGCATCTTAAAAAGTGACAGTACATTGAGAGAGGCCCTCCCAGCTTCACCAACAGTAAGTTTTAGAAAAGCCCCAACACTTGGAAATAAACTGGTGAACAGCTACCTTCCACCCCTTTTATCAAATACATGGCTGAACACTCAAAGTGGCTGTTATAGATGTGGAAACTGTACATACTGCGACCATATTCAGCGTACTAATCACTTTATGGAAGTTTCATCTGGACAAACTTTCACCATCAAAACAATCATCAATTGCAATACTACCTTTGTAGTCTATAGACTTGAGTGTCCCTGCGGCCGCTTCTATGTAGGCCGTACAAAACGGAAACTGAAAAACAGACTGGCCGAACACAAGCAAGCTATAAGGACAAAAAACCCACAATATCCAATGGCTCTACACTACAGAGACTCCAACCATGGAAGTTGCAGTAGCCTGAAGATCTGTGGCATTGAGCATATTCCAGAGACAATAAGAGGAGGAAATAGACTCAAGACATTACTTCAAAGAGAGTCCTACTGGAAATATACTTTAAAAGCCACTCAATTCCCAGGCTTAAAGGTCAGTGTACTTGTGGGTATTTGGATTTTCTTCACTGAAATGAAAATAATAAATAGAAAAACAAGTCGTTTTTCTATTTTCGTTTGCAAATCAAAAAACCAAAAATGAAAAAACAGCCATTTTTCTTTTTATATCCAAGTGAATGAAATTTAATTTTTCAAAATAAAGCTGATTTTCATGTTTGCATTGTATACTGAATAAACAAAAACAAATTAAGACAAAAACGAAAAACGACCCAATATTTGTTTTATGAAACCGGAAGTTGTCATATTCAAGCGCAAAGAGCGCCAAAATTGTGTTGTTTATGTCACTCCCGTATTCGTCCCGGAAACCGGATTCGTCCGGAAGTTCAGTTTGATCCAATGAGCACAGGCAGCAGTAGATTACGTCACGGAATCTGGACGGAAGCGGAAGTAAATATAAAAAACTACCTATTCATGCCTAAACTTAACCAGCCATTCCCATAAAATAACCCCAACCCAGCCTTAACCCTAAACTTAACCATCTTAATCAGACGCCTAAACTTAACCAGTCTCCACTTAAGGACATATTAAACTTTTTGACATGCGCAAACTGAACTTCCGGACGAATCCGGTTTCCGGGACGAATCCGGGAGTGACAGTTTACACTAATAGATCCATGTGTTTACATCTTGAGCTCAACGGAGCAGTATGATGGCATTGGACCCGTACTATGATATGATAGCAGACATGGCAAGAAATGGCCTGTCATCGACAGAGATTTTGGCGAACCTGGGAGTACATGGAAGTGGAAAAGGATTTTCGACAAGAAATATCAGGAAATACTGCGCTGCAAATGGGATCAGTTTGGGAATCCCACACGCACGTCTAGAGCTGGAGGTAGCCCAAGCCATAATGGAGGTAGGAAGATGCTACAAACAAAGCCAGTTTATTTGTCAATAAATGTTTGTATACCCCTCTCAACTGAATAAATAGATAGTTGTGTTGGCTCTCTGTCTATATATATATATATATATATATATATAGCTTATTTTTTGTACAATAAAATCACCATAAGTACCATAACTTTACTAATAAACTGTATAGGCTTGCAGAGATTGCACTATTGTAAATTAAATAATGATAATACATTTGCAGATTCTTCCAGCCCAATTGTTATGAACCACTCATTCATATAACAGTTAGGTTATATGTAGATCTGAACCTGCCTGTATGTCAGTAATACAATAATCTGAATATGCATTATTTTTAGACTGGACCAAGTTTTGGAAGAAGAATGATGAAGGGGTATCTTTCCACTAAAAATGTGCATGCGGGAGAGGCAAGGATTGGATCAGTGCTGAGAACTATTCATCGGCCATACCATGAAGATAGACGCCAGGTTCAATAAATCACATTAACTCATCTACAACACTTTTTTTTTTTTTACTCTTTATTATTTTTTGAACTGCCAATCCATCAGTTGGTGAACAAATGCTTAATGTACTGCACCCCTGTTACCATAAGCAGTGTAATTCTTAAGGTCTGCTAACATCTGCTAATAACTCTGTTCAGCTATATACTGTATAATATAAATTGAGGTCACCAATGTTTCATATTAATCAGCCAGTAATTGATTATATCTCAAAGTTTATTTAGTACATTGCGTAAGTTGTGTGTTTTCACACAGTATTTCACAATTTTCTTTATGTTCTTGTTTTTTAGGGTTCCAAAAATCTGAACCCCATACCATATACGGCTGAATACATGGGTCACAAGATACATCTAGACCAAAATGAAAAAATTGCCATGTTCGGTGCTACCCATGTTTTAGCCATTGATGGCTTCAGCAGAATGATTGTTGGATTTTCCACAATGCCCATCAAGAACAATCTTCTCATATATGAAAATGTATTCAGGTAATTTCCATTGTTGTGAATAGAGGTTATGTGTGTGATGTCAGAAGCATAGCAACAGTACGGCAGAAACCATTCCAATAAAGCAACAGAGAAAAATGAGGGGAAAGACTATTTATTTCTACGGATATGGACTCAATTTGGACTGTTAAAGGTGTAAACAACATGTCTACACCCTCTATACCAAGGCTTGTTATCAATTATGATCAGGGCAATGCATTAATTTAGTTTAGTTTATTATTTATTTGAACAGGGACAGTGTACAATATACATTAACCTCAGAACGGAGAGATGCATTGTACCAGGTTGTAGCACTTGTGCTAATTTCCACCTGCAGTCCCTGGGCAGACTGATGTCAACAGACAGTCTTAGACAAATGTTAAAAATACATTTCCCCTCAAACAGCATTAAAATTAAACACACACGTCATTCATTCCTAAGCAGTAATTTGCAAATACACTCTTGCATACACACCAATTACAGTACATTATGGGAACAGGTTTGTTTTAAAAGAAGCAATTTTCTGGCCTGGTGTGAAAATAATATTCTAATAATGTAATGGCCACCACAGCATAAAATGTCAAAAAAAAAAAACAACCCCATCATGTCAGGGTGAGTTTTTGTGTAGTTTAAACGTTAGACTTGACTTTTTCATGGTATAGATTGCATATTACTGATTGTGTTCTTACAATACGTGATTATTAATATATTTTAAACAAAAATATATTAAGAAAAAAAATGCATTTTGAAAAGTAATTTGAAGGCTTGACCTGGGGTTATTACTCCTCTCTAGTCACTGTGCATTGTATACTAGTGCATAGTACACATTGCATGAATGAATGATGAGTGGTGATCCATAATTATAAATTATTCTGTTCTTACTGGGATCAAGTACGTTGTCATCACATCGCCACAATACACAGAGGCAGCCTTACCTTCAGACTACATCAACAAGGGTGCATTTCTCTAGTTCTTGTTTTCACTATGTTTATCCATAAGGTTAGCTGTTACTTTAAACAAGTGTAAGAAACCAAACCTTTTTCTCTTAATAAGGTTGTAAAAGGTATTGCTTTGTCACTTAATATGAGTGAAATGTTTCCCATAATTGTCACCAGAACACAATGATAAATCATCTTTGGTATTTCAGAATCACATAGTTGAAAGAATCTGGCCTGAAGTCAACCAATCTGTTAACTATCCTCTGAAGACCGCCCTTATGCAGCTGATTGATCAAGAAGAACTGGACATGGAAAGCAGCCTGGTGAAGTACTGTGTGTCCAATCTAACTGTTCAGTTGAGCCTAATTGGTCTTGAAAGATTGGTCACAACCTGGAACTCCCATAGGATCCCAGGTTTGACGTGATCATGTGAATATGTTTACTTAACAGTAGTATTTAAGTTAACTAAGACAAATATTTACTTTGTTTGGCAGGAAGGGGGGTGCCAAAGGACTTAGCCGTCACTGGGTGTCCCAAAAGAATCCCGCCGACTATCCTACCACACGCAGATGAAGCAGAAGCCCTTTATCGGCAACACATGGGATCAGCATTGACCACACAGTCAATTTTTGGAGTTGACCCATTTACTAATAATAATAATAATAATAATACATTTTATTTGAAAGCGCCTTTCAGAACACCCAAGGACACTGTACAATGGACACATTAAAAACAATAAAAACAAGAGCGACAGGATAAAACAGAGTACAATATTGAGAGGGTGCGCGCATAACTAGGTGTTATAGGACTGTCTGCACAGGTGAGTTTTGAGTCTGGATTTGAAGAGTGGCAGGGAGTCTATGTTACGGAGGTCGGAGGGGAGAGAGTTCCAGAGCTGGGGAGCAGAGCGACTGAATGCTCTGTGCCCCATGGTGACGAGTTTGGCCGGTGGAACGGAGAGTTTGAGAGTGGAGGAAGAGCGGAGTGCGCGGGCAGGAATTTCGATGTGGAGGAGGTCAGATATGTACGGAGGGGCCAGGTTATGAAGTGCTTTGAATGTGATGAGGAGGATTTTGAAGTTGATTCTATGTTTTATGGGAAGCCAGTGGAGTTGTTGTAGGACAGGGGTGATGTGGTGAGAGGTAGGGGTCCGTGTGATGATTCGTGCTGCAGCGTTTTGAAGGAGCTGCAGTTTCTGGAGGGATTTGTTGGGAAGACCGAACAGAAGTGAGTTGCAGTAATCAATGCGGGAGGTAACGAGGCTGTGGACGAGGATGGCAGTGGTGTGGGGGGAGAGAGAGGGGCGGAGACGGGAGATGTTACGTAGGTGGAAATATGCAGACCGGGAGATGCTTTTGATGTGAGACTGGAAGGAGAGTGTACTATCGAGGATGACACCCAGACTCTTAACCTGAGAGGAGGGGGAGGACAGATGAGTTGTTGATGGGAATAGGAAAACTGTTTGATTTCGAGAGAGTGGAGGGGGTGCCTACGAGAAGGACTTCTGTTTTAGAGCTGTTCAGTTTGAGAAAGTTGGAAGAGAACCAAGAATGAATTTCTTGTAGACAGAGGGCAAGGGAGGATGGAGGAAGAGATGAAGAGGGTTTGGTAGAGAGGTAGAGCTGGGTGTCATCCGCGTAGCAATGGAAATGAATGTTGTGTTTACGGAGGATGTTACCGAGTGGGAGAATGTAGATGATGAAGAGGAGGGGCCCCAGGACAGAGCCCTGGAGAGCACACCAGCAGAGACAGGGAAAGTGTTGGACCTGTGGGATTTGAGTTGAATGAACTGTGTGCGGCCAGAGAGATAGGAAGTGAACCAAGCAAGGGGGGTGTGAGTTATGCCAATGGAACAGAGTCTGTCAAGGAGAGTGGAGTGAGAAATGGTGTCAAAAGCTGCGGTGAGGTCAAGGAGGATAAGAATGGAGAGCAAACCAGAGTCAGAAGCTATGAGGAGGTCGTTAGTGATTTTGAGAAGAGCTGTTTCAGTGCTGTGAAGGGGACGGAAGCCAGATTGAAACTTCTCGTAGATATTGTTTGTGATAAGATGGTTATGGAGTTGAGCGGCGACAGATTTTTCGAGTATTTGGAGACGAAGGGAAGGTTTGAAATGGGACGGAGGTTATCAAAGTTGGTGGGGTCCAAACCGGGCTTTTTCAGGATTGGTGTGACTGTGGCGGATTTGAGTGAAGAAGGGACAGTACCAGAGATAAGAGATGAGTGGATGATATTGGTGATAAAGGGAGCAAGTGAAGGAAGGCAGGATTTAACAAGAGCTGTAGGGAGGGGGTCAAGCGGGCAGGTTGAGGGTTTGGATTTGAGAATGAAATCGGAAATGACTTGAACGGAGGGGAGGATGAAGCTGGAGAATGTAGTTGTAAGAGATGAGTGGGGGGCCGGGGAGTCTACTCCAGAAACTGCAGCTCCACATGTGAACAGGTGTTGATGGATATTGGAGATCTTGGAAACAAAGAAAGACATGAGTGAGTTACAGAAGTCAGTGGATTGCATGTGGTGTGGGAGAGAGTCAGGGGGTTTTGTGATATTGGAGAGGAGAGAGAAGAGAGTTTTAGAGTTATGTTGATTGGAGTAAATTAAACCGGAGTAGTAGGCGGATTTGGCAGAGGAGAGATTGTCCTTGTATTGAATGATATGGTTATTGTACATTTCTTTGTGTATAGTGAGTCCAGTTTTATTGTATAGTCGTTCTAGTTGTCGTCCTTGGGATTTGAGCTGACGGAGGGCGGGGGTGAACCAGGGTGCGGAGCGGGTGAAAGAGACATGTCTGGTTTTGAGTGGAGCGTGAGTGTCTAACAGGTTATGGAGATTACTATTGTAGTGGGAAACCAGATCGTGAGGTGAGCTATTAGGATTAGTACTAGGGAGATTGTTAATGTCTGAGGAAAAGGTGGCAGGGTTTATATCTTTGATCTTGCGGAAATAAATGATTCTGGGGAGGGATGATTTTGTAAAGGGTGAGGCTGGTGTTGAAAGTAATGAGCATATGGTCGGAGTATGGGATTGAATGAGGTTTACAGTCAGTGGGAGTGAGACCGGAGCAACAGACTAAATCCAGGATGTGACCTTTACAGTGTGTAGGGAAATTGATGTGTTGTTGCAGGCCAAAACTATCTAAACAGGATGAAAAGTCTTTGGAGAGAGCATTACTGTTATTGTCTATATGAATATTGAAGTCACCAAGAATAATTGCATTTTGAGATATGGATGTGAAATGTGTTAGCAGGTGAGAGAAATCGTTTAGGAAGTCTTTGTTGTGTTTTGGTGGGCGGTAGATGGTGGCAATAACTGTAGGTGAGGGTCCAGGCAGCAGTGACGCAGAGTACTCGAAGGAGGAGAACACAGGGGCAGCAGGCACAGGAACGACTTTCCAACTCTCGCGGTGTAGCATCGCGAGACCTCCGCCCCGGCGGCCGCATGTGCGGGGCTGGCAGACGTAAACAAACCCCGGCGGAGCGGACTCGTTGAGAGAGGCAAAGTCATTTGGCTGCTGCCATGTTTCGGTCAGGCACAAGAAGTCAAGCTTTCGGTCAACAAGGACATCGCGGATCAGATGCCCCTTGCTGCTAAGAGAGCGGATGTTAAGGAGACCGAAGCTGACAGTGGTGGAGCTGTTCTTGGCCGCAGCGGAGTTAGCCGACCTAGCTAGACTGGCCAGGGCACTGTGATCAACATCCCGAGTAGCGTTGCGGGAGCGGCGGCGTGTGGTAGACCAGATTGACTTTATTGGATGAGAGTCATTGTATTGGAACTTACGACGAGATCCACGGTGAACGTATCTCCGTCGGGGCTGGAAAGCGATGTCCGGAGGGATGTCACGCCCGAGCCCAGGTAGAGGAGGAGCGGAGACGTGGTGTCGAAGTTTTAGGAGATTCACAGCGGAGTATTGGAGGAGTGCGTTAGTTTGCAAGTGGACGAGGGACACGACGAGCCAGATGACAGCAAACCAACGTGTTATTTGGTAGATCCACATCGTTTCCCAGGAGGGGAATACGACAGCCAGGGGTTCCAGGTAGGAGTATGTTACAAACAGCCACTAATGCGACTGACAACAGCAAACTACCGTTGGTATAGTTCGCAAACCAGCAAGCCCTTTAGATACTGCGTAATCACGACATCCAATATAGCGTAAACAATGTTTTATTCCGTGTAGACCGGAGAGTAGCGGCTGCAAAAACGCGCCTGCGTTCACTCAACCGGAAGTTTACGTGTTTCCTTTTCCTCTCCTACAATGACAGACCTGTGAACTCCTGCCAAACCAGCAACAACGATAAAATATCCAGACGATATGTGTCCCCAACATAAAAGAACCTCCATTCTTCTACAAATGATAATGTATGTTTGTGCATGTATTTGCAAAGAGTGAATTTAATTCCATGGGGCCAATAAGGAGGCCGTTGATTGTTTCATTGTTATTTGCCCATTATACTTTGTAATGAATTTAAAAGATGAATATATATTCTGATTCATGTAACATGGCTTATATATTGTTGAAACGAAAGAGTAAACATCCTAGTTTTATACTCACAAAAACTCTTACTAACTGTTAGTAACATGACTAATGAGTCATTTGCCACTGCAGTATTAACCAGTATAGGTTTCAGTGAGATAACGCTGGCCGCGCTTGGCATCCGCTGGCTCACATACACAAACGCCGCAGGTCGAGGACGCCAGAACAGTGTCCTGGCAGCGTGGCCCAGACGTTCCAGCCCGCGAGCAGCCAATAACATCTCCACCACCGTCGATCATCTGTCTCCTCACCGTGCGCTCCCTCAACACAAGGGCCATCTGTCCGGGATTTCCTCCGTCGACCGAAGCTGGACCTTTTTCTTGAGTTTTGACCGAAAACCTGGCAGCAGCAAATGCTTTGCCGCGTTGAACGACTCCACTCCAGCCGGGTTTGTTTATCCAACTGCCAGCCCCGCAGCTGTGGCCGCCGGGGCGAGGTCTCGCGATGCTTCACCGCGAGACTTGGAAAGTCCACCCCTGATGCCTGCTGCCCCTGTCCTTCTCCTCCTTCGAGTAACTGCCTCACTGCAGCCGGGACCTACCTCCTACTGTTGTTGCCACCATCTACCGCCCTCCCAAAACTTAATAAGGCTTTTTAATGACATTTCTCACCTTGCTAACTCACTTCTCATCAATCTCACATAACGCAGTCATACTTGGTGACTTCAACATTCACATGGACAATAAAAGCA